GGTTCAGCACCTTGGAGAGCAGCTTGGTGAGTTCCTCAAAGAGGTTGGCGCAGTAGTAATCACAGTCGTAGTTAATGTAGAGCTCGGTCACGAAACTGGGAATCCTCCACAGCTGAACAATGGCTTCCAAAGCCATCTCCTTCATTTCATAGGGCATCTTTGGGTTTTCCACAGTGATTATTTCCATCAGCTTCTTGACATACATCTGACAAAAACACAGGGCAGCTCAGTTTAAGGAAAGAAAAAAGAAAGCAGGACAGTGAATAGCTTTGAGGACTACAGAAAGAGATTTAAGCTTTGTCTTCCCACATAACACTCCATCTTTAATGATGGTGCATTCTGAAGCGGGTTCTAGAAAGGTTTCAAATCGTCCTACCATTGAGTGCACCTGGATTTACTGTTTTAAAAAAACGGTATGAAGGCAGGAAGTGCAGTACACCAGTCTCAAAGACATTTTATTAACCAACAAGAAAAGCCCTACACAGCCTACCCATAACCCACTGAGTAATTTTTACAAAGGTAAATTGATATTTAGACTGTATCTTACTGCCTAGCTATATGCATTTAACTGAAGTCCAAGAAACTATTACTAGGCACACAGTGATACTCAAAAAACTCACCTCCAGCTGGAACTTCAGATGCTCTCTCATGCTCTCAAAGAGAAGAAAGCACACCCTGAGGGAGGTTGCATACAGATTGAGCCGTTCAACACTCAGTAGCTGAACAAGAAACAAAAAATCCTTTAAGAATTGAAGGCTAATCATTATGTGCTATCAGTAGCAGTACTGTGGCACTGCAGATTATCACCTGCAACAGCCTTGAGATCCACACTTTTCCTCCCATAGCAATGGTATTTCAAAAAACAATCCCTTATTCAACGTCTTGGTCTCACTGTTTCCTAGTGAGGACGAATACACTTAATTCCCTTCTGCTTGTGGTAGCACTTTTCCTACTACAACTTTGTTCTTTTGCCAAGTCCACAAATCCTCTTAGCGGAGAAGGAACATGGGAGACGACCTGCCTCTGAGATGGCCCCTGTGCGATTAATAGCTTGGTATTCCAAAAGGTTCTGCCTACTGCTAAGCACGTAACTTGCACCCATGATTACCTCAAAACCAATTATATCAAAACACAATGTTATCCCACAGTAACAAGTTAATTGAAATCGCCATCCTTCTTGGTCCTGGTCTTAAGAAAACAGAACACGACCACCTCTCTGGCTTTGCAACAGCACTGTTTCACTGCTGCAATTCAGAACTCTCATTGCAATGCAGCAGAGAGCTCATTTGAAGACTGAGCTCTGCCAAACCTCAGAATTAGAAATTCCAGTAGATTCTTTGATGCAAATTAGTATCTGATTCTCCAGTGCCATATGCCATGCTAGCATAAGCCAGACTCACTTGAAATAAATGCCGGCACAACTCCTCCTTCACAAGTCCCAAGAGGGACTGGCAGTTTGCAATGGGTGCTGACTCCAGGGCAACAGTTAGCAGCTGCAGCCCCATGTGGATCATCACCTCAGAGTTGTGGCGGTCATGAGGGTTGGTGAGTGAGATAAGAAAGCGGAACAGTTCTCTAATACATGGCAGCCCATACGGGACCAGTGCTGCTCCTAAAGGAAAAAGAGAGATTAGTACTCTTAACTTTGCTTTTTGCAGGTGCCTAACAAGTGTTACAAATGAAATTGTTACAGACCAGCTGAGGAACAAGAGTTTATTACCCTCTCAGCAGAAAGTGAAACAGAAGAGGGGAAAGGAGAAAGGTCTTTAGCAACATTGCCCACCTCTCACCTTCTTTTTGGGAAGACTGAGTAAAACGTACTCCTCGGGGATTTACATAGTCCATGTCGTGAACTGAGGCAGAGTCAGAATGTTCTGCTACAGATGTGCACTCCTCTAGGACCTCAGGGATAGACTCAACAGAAGCTGACTGGATCTTCTCCTCCCTCAGACTTTCGTTCTTCATTAATATCAGTCATTTGAGAACGAAAGAAGCAAAACGAGTTAACAAGCACTAGACAAGAAAGGCTTATTTGTTCATGGTTCATTCAGAACTATTAAAACTACACAGGTCACTCATGGAAGAGGAGCAGGAAAACAAAATTTAAGAGAAAAGAGAGCCTCTAGATAATATGCAGCCTTCTCTGCCCTTTCACTTCCATCTAGTTCTTATCTATTTTACATAACTCTAGGTTACAAAAGACCTTATTTTGAAGATACTCCTACAACCTATCAGTTCCTACTACCCCTGAAGTTAGGATTAGGCTCATTTTTTTGGTTTTAAATGCTACATAATTTCAGCACACTATTTCTATCTATGCCTTCTTAGCATCCTTACCATTAAAAGTATCTGCAGCTCAAAGGTTCCCTGCAACTCTAATCCATCTTCTCAACAGCATTACTGTTGCAGGGGAAGTGGAGACAACACAGAGGAAAACTTACTGACAAAAGCCTTGGTTCAGGTTAGTTCTATTCCACAGTAACAATGCACATGCGCAAACAACAACAGATGAATTTCTACAAACTCTTTACTAAAGATAGTAAACTAAGTTCTCCTGCAGATTTCCTCTGTTCCCTCTAACAGTTTCTCCTTTAATTAAGGTTGATGGTATTGGCAGGAGTACAACTGGATATGTAGGTATGTTGTTGGGCTGCAGAGTTATAATTTCTAGGCCAATGGGGACGGTGTCAAGAGAAAAGAAAGAATGAATGTTTGTGAATTTACAAGTCACTTACGGTCAAGGATGTTTTACTCTGACCCTAAGCTTTGAAATAGAATATAAACACTATGACCAAAGAGAGAGATAGAAAGAGAGTAAGTGTGCTAAATCCATAACTGATTATGCTGGGAGTTGGCATTTGTCTTTATAAGTTATATCAATGTACCTGGAGTTCAGGCTGATTTTGATTTTCAGTGACTTTGGCCTCATTTGAAGTCATTCCTGCATTAAGTCCCAAAGAAGTGACTTGGTCCAAGTCTGTCAGGTCTTCCTTGGATGTAGTCTGTGAGGACAACTCCAAACCACTGTCTGTAGCAGGGCTGACTGCAGACGAAACATTTTCTGAGCTCCCAGAGGAGCTGGGAGAAGGAGCATCTATGAAAGTAACTCCGCTTGCTGATGAGCAACAGAAGCAAAAAGATCAGTATAATTCTGTCTCTCAATCACAAGGTCATACATTCAATACAGCAACAAAGATTTACTTCGATTACTACTTCACTCTACAAATGATCTCAGATAGTTACGCATTAATGTAGAGAATGTAGATAAATTAAGTTCTCTTTTGCCAGGTATTAATGAATCAGATGAACAGATGAGACACTAGAAATAAATGTTTAGTGGAATCTAACAGACTTGACAAATAAGAAAATACACAGTTAGATAAAGGGTGCAGAGGGTTATTAATTATATAATATAATTCATATAATTATGAAGAAACCTGAAAACAGTCCAAAAGGTATACTTTACTCTTTGATACAATGGCACAACCATTTTGAAGACTGGCATCAAGGATTAGTCATTCCTTCAAAGTGAGAATTTTTAACTTGACTGGAAGGCAAAACCTATTTCTTTAATACTCCTTAAACAAACGGAATTGTGATAGAATTCAAGTGGGTCTGAAATGGAGCAGTGAAGTATTTTTACTTGTTCTACAAATGAGATAGTGCCCCAAGAATCTAAGTCTTCCTTTAAAAGAAACCCACATATTTGCAGCTCTTATGGTTCTGAAGAGAACTTTAAAAATGTAAAACAATTATTTAAAAAGGAGAAGATATACTACAGGGCACAAAGATAAAAGAAAGACACAAACCAGAGTTATGTTATGAACTTCCATGTGAAATATGTATGGATTTTCACAGTGTTTTTTTATTGCTGACTTGATTTTTGGAAATGTCTAAGTAGCAGGATGTTACTTGATTTTTAAGAAATGAAATGGAATACATAATCCATTTTGCAATCCTTTCTTCTTCACCTGCTAAGCCAGGATTCTTGCCTAAAAAGCATTATTAATAATTACCTAGCACTACAAGGTCAGAGTTAGTGACATGCTTTGTAACATAATTCAACTTTCTCTCTAAAATGTTACAGGAGTTATAGTACTGTGTAATGGAATTTAGTATCTATTTGGAAACTTAAATATGATGATGATTTATGTAGGGATAAGTTCTCATCTGGATGGATGTTCTGAGTTATATGCAATTTGATCACATTTATTATTTCATCAGTTTTCACCAATCATGCTGTTGCGTAGAAACACACTTGGAATCGTTCACACTACACTGAATAGTTTCCTGTGACAGAATCAAGCATCAGAACTAGGTATTTTACAAAGCTATTGTTTCAGTTTTCCTGTCTGCTTCCTTTCACTGTTAATGTTTATGTCTGAGCCATCAAATTGTAGAGTGCACAAGAGACAAAGTACTTTGCAGCCAGAGGGACTCATTTATCCAGAGAAGAGGTTAAAAACAGTTATAACTATTTAGTCTACTCCCATACAACAATAGGATATGGAAGCCCCCCAACATTATATTCTTTAGCTCGCAGCACTAGTCACATACTGCATCACTTCTGCAGGATGAATCCAAGCATGTGAAAAAAAGATTCGTATGTATACCCATTAGTTTCCTGCATACAATCCCTTCTCAGGTTCTTTTGCTATTCCCTCTACTTTTTTACCTATATAACTCTTCATGCCTTCTCACTATATCATGGCCTCTATTCTCTCCATAACAGTTGTAAGCGCACCCATATTTCCCTGTCCCTTAATGAGTGTAGCCTTTTATTCAAATTTCATGGACTGTGGGTGCACACTTTCATTCTTTACATTTGTAGTAAGAGATCTGTTAATTCACCCATCCTTGATACCTAGGTTTCTGCACATCCCTCGGTTCTACCTGTATGTTTTCCCCAGTCATACTTTGCTCTCCCTTTGTTACCACCACACACACACACTTTTGTACACCCTTCAGGAACAGGAAAGAATGCGTCACTTAGGTCAGCGGTCTCCTGTTGCAGTAAACCTCCTCAGGTCCATTCCCCTTAGCTCTCCTTTTGCCAGTGTTCTCGATCTCTCCCAGGCACCTGCTGCACCCTCCAACTCCTCTGTACCACATGGCTGCCCATAACCTCAGCCACCTCTCCAGGTCCCCATACCCTTTTGTACAAACAACCCCTGTAAGGCATGCTGAAAGCAAGGAAATGCCGTCAAGTT